GGCCCGCGTCGAAGCCACAAACTGGCGAGTCCCCTGTCCCTGCGAAAAATATTGAAGCTGTTGTGGCAGAGAAGGACGAGGAGATAGAGAGAGTCATGAGAGATGTCGAAGCCGGAAAGTAAACGATGGTTAACCACATATGTTGGTGACAATATGGAAATTCTGAGGAAATTTTGGGAAATTTTTGTTGGTTTCTTACAATTCTACCATAGTTTGCATATAAACTCCCATAATTAGTGAGGAAACTTCTAGGGTCTGATGAGGAAAGCGAACATGCGATGGTGATTTAATGAAAGTGATATGTAACGAGAAGTTTGTTGCCATTCTGCACTCTACAGAGGCGGTAACAGAGGAGAATATAACTTTCTCCATGTGCATCAACTGCGCTATAGTTGCGCTGCTCTCACTCTGTGCAGAATCATGTCAGTGGCACTCGTGAGATGATTTATTAACTGATAGAAACATGAATTATGAATACGAATATAATAATAACGTAATGTTATTGAGGTAAAGGGGCATTGACATAGATTGATTATAGATAATCAATAGGTATATACCACATCTGTTTGAACTTTACTTTATCCCAACTGGTGTGTCGAAGTTCCTCTATTTATGGTTTCTCAGAATCGCACTGGCAGCAGAGAGAGCCAAGACGAGGACACTAGTGCAGAAGAAAGTCGATGAAGTTGGTCGCATTGCTGGAGAGCTAAGACAGCACCTGGACTGTTTCTCAGTTGAGCAAGAAGCACATGAGTGAAATCGCCGAGCTAGAAGGCAGAATTAGAGAGTTGGAGAATACGATTAAGGGTGAGCGGGAAAGTCTGAAGAAAGCTGTGAAAATCACTGATGAGAACAACGTAAGCATATGAGCGCGGAGAGCTTGTGTAGGCGTATTGTTGTAGACTCTGCGGGTTCGTATTCGCGACTATGAGTCGAAGCTTGAGAGTGCTAAGAACAAGATCGCCCGTCTTGAGACACAGCTCAAAGTGAAAGAAGGTAAGATGATGATTCTTCATTCGAAGGGAGAGGCTACATGATACTAACACAGTTCGATATAAAGCAGGAGTTGCCTTACTTCATATAGAGGGCTCCTCTGTGAGGGGGGATGAAGGACGCTTTCAGAGGATATACTGACTTCGGCTCGCCTTGTGAAGAATTTGACTGAGCAGAGGGACTTGTTCAAGGCGCAGTTGGAAGGACTAGGTGGGTAGTTTAGTCGCCTGTTGTGATACGTACGATTTTCCCAACAGGTCAAGCGGCGTCCGATACAGAGCTACTCGCTGCGAATGCGCGATATGAAGCTCTTGTGAGCGCACATAAGCAGGCGCTAGAATGCGAGCAGAAGGTGTGGTATGAGACTTTGCTTGTCATTTATCGGCGTTT